TTTGTTTTATGTTTTTGATTGTGTGTGTGTGTGTGTTTTTGCGCTCTGACTTTAAATATCCACCACCACCAGAGCAATTGCTGGATGTGCAAACAAAGCAGAAAAGGAAGGGGGTAGCTGGCATTGATCAAGATGAATTGGTGGATCCTAAATTTTTAGCTGACCCGGATAGTTGTTTTTGTGAGTTCAGAGGAGTGGAGATACACCACAAGGTGTATGATGCACAATCACAGGCACATGAGGCTGAGGCCCTCTCTAGCCAGACTAAGAATGTTGGTCTTCCTATGATTTTATTACATGGTTTTGGTGCCTCAGTTTTCTCGTGGAATCGAGTTATGAAACCATTAGCAGAGGTCATTGGTTCCAAAGTTGTTGCCTTTGATAGACCAGCTTTTGGGTTGACATCAAGGGTAAACCTTTTTTGGCATTCATCATCTGGAAATGGGGAACCAAGACCTATAAATCCATATTCCATGGCATTTGCAGTGCTTGCTACCTTATACTTCATTGATTTTCTAGCAGCCGAGAAGGCAATTCTAGTGGGGTATGTACTTAAATCATTATCTTTTGGTTTTGCTATTGAGATTAAGTCTCATTTTGTACCTTTCGGCTATATATAAATTCTTTTAGGAGAAACAATAAAATTTCACAATCATTGTGATCATCTCATCAGTATTTTAATTTTTAAATTAGGCATTCAGCTGGTTGTCTTGTAGCAGTTGATGCATATTTTGAAGCTCCAGAACGTGTTGCTGCTATGATCCTTGTTGCCCCAGCAATTTTTGCCCCACGTACTATTAAAAAGGGTGTCAAGGGATCTCAATCAGGAGAAGATAACCAGACTGAAGAAGCTAGCTCAAATTCAATAAATCTAGGGAATCCATTTATCCAGCTTTTCAGGATGTTGTCCAAGTTTGCCAAATTTATTTCACAGGCAATAATGGGAGTGGTGAAGGGGATGGTAGGCATGTTTAGCTCTTTGTATAAGAAATTCTTGTCAGCTGTTCTACGCTCTGCCTTTGCTGTAATGCTAGTAAGGAATTTCTCTTTTGACTCAATTTCAAACTGCATTCAGTTTGATTTTTCCAGATACTGTCAAATTGATCGAGTGTTCCAGCCAACCAAAGAAAAATATCAAATGGCCAAGACTGTGAAAACATCTTGTTCAAATATTCTGATTAGTCCAGTATAAGGGTTGTATAACTGATATTCTTTCTTCTTGCATATTATTGTTCTTCTTTGTGATATTTTTCTGCCCCTTTTTAAAGATACTTGTGCTACATCAGACAGTGACTTACCACATGATTCTCAGGTAAGGATGGTTATTGATAAATTTGGTGTCACTGCTGTTAGGAATGCATGGTATGACGCGAATCAAGTCACTGAACATGTCATACAAGGTTATACAAAGGTTATTATCTTTAATAGTTTTGCCTTCTCTTTTGTTTTTGATTTTGGGTGAGCATGGTGCTCACCTGGATGTTAGTTCACATGCAGCCATTGAGGATTAAGGGTTGGGACAAGGCACTTGTGGAGTACACAGCAGCCATGCTTACAGACACATCATCTGAATCAAAGCCACCACTGGCAAAAAGACTTCTTGAAATCTCATGTCCTGGTAACAGTTATAACTTATAACCCTATAAATTTCCCACTTAGTGTTAAAATGGGTTGAAGCATGTATTGAAAAATATGTCAATTGGAAGGAAAGAGACTTAAATAACTAAAAAGAAAGTCCCCTTAGACCAGAAAAGTAGTTTTTCTTTTCCCTAGTGTCCGAGATGCCTTGTAATCCATGTTGAAGAAGAAACATGTAACGTTAATTCTAATCATTCTCTCTTTGAATCCCAGTCTTGATTGTTACGGGTGATAATGACCGAATTGTCCCCTTGTGGAATGCTGAGAGACTTTCACGAGCCATACCTGGATCTTGCCTTGAAGTTATAAAGCATTGTGGGCACTTGCCACACGAAGAGAAAGTTGATGAGTTTGTTTCAATAGTGAAGAAATTTCTGTATAGAGCTTTGGAAGATTCTGAGGACCAACATCTACAAGTTGTAGTGTGAAGTTTGTCTCCTATATCCCATGCTACTATGTCACGGGGAAAATTGGCTGGCTCGATCAGGCAAACTAACATAAGAATGTTGTCAGTCTATATCTGAAGAATTTGGGATGTCGGAAAATAGTCTGGCCAGGAAATGGGAAATTCCCATAAATCGAAGTATATAATACAGCAAGTGTAATACCATCCATGTTAATATTTCTGCTTCACTCAGTCACTTGGACATTCAGTAGTTGTAATACTAGTGATTTGAGTGTGTCAATTGTTGTCCCTTGATAGACAAGTACTGAGATTAGTAAAACTGCAATTTTTCCTTTTGATTTGTGCAATAAGCGACCAATAGTCTGTCATTTGATATTATATGTAATGGAGCAAAACCCTATGCACATTCTTGTTCTTTACTGAGATAATAATCTGAGAAAGGAGTTTAACTGCATTAATGAGACAACCAAGTTTAGGTAGTGGACTTTTATACTGCATTAATTTAATACAACATAATTACCGATGCTAATTACAAACTTGGTTAAAAAGGAGGATCAATTGATATGGTGAGACTAGCATCTTGTAATCCTGAAGGCATATCAAATCCTGACATAAAGTCATCACCGAAGATCACAGCACCAGCCGCCAGCGCTCCAGCACCCATTCCCATTCCAAAACCCGGTGCCCCTCTACGACCAGGTGGTACTCCAGATGATGGCATATTAACATAGGTATCCGACATTCTATCTGTTCTTGGAATAAAAGTGGGTATGTACCCAACATTAGAAGGTGGGGGAGGTGGTGGCGGAGTTTTGGGCGGCTCATAGCTTGGTCCACTTGCTGGCGGGTAGCTTGGCCCGCTGGCTGGTGGGTAACTTGGTATTGGTCCAACTGCGGATGGCTTGGATGAGTTTGTAGGGAAGGACCTTGGTTGTGCATATGGAGAATTGATACGGAGCTGACTTTCTGGCCTTTGGTGTGGAGCTAGAGGTTGAAATGTTGGTGAAGACCCATCTCCAATAGCCAAGGTGATGGTATTGCTGAGATCCGTAGGTCCTCCCTCACTGCCTGCAAAAACAGAGTTATTAGTCAATAATCACATCAAATTCCATTGAAAGAGTTAGACTGTGATCCAAACCATGCGTCAAGGATCATGTTGCCATCAAACTTCAACCATGAAACGCATATATGAGGGACTGAATTTATACAAGAAACTTAAACTGGAAAAAAAAAAAAAAAAAAAGAGTTACATAAGAAACATTGGATCTTTCAGAGCTTCTGAAGAACACCCCCATGAATTATGAATACCTGTGTATGAGCTTCGAGCTTCCATGTCCTCAGATATACGTATTGAAACATCGACGAATCCTTGAGGCTTGTTGGACTTCTTTTTCCGCAATTGATAGCTCCCAACTTCTTCAGCTCCTTGTCTTGAAGCCTCAGAATTCTTGTTATGCTTAGCCAGAAACTCTCTCAAGACAATAGTTGCTGTACCCTGAAGCCTCTCTCTGAGGAATATAGGCTCTCTGCTGTACACTTCAATGTGCAGCGCCAGATCCTTCAAGTTCGACTCCGAGTCCTCAACCAAGGTAGCAAACTTGGTTTTCCATACTGGATTTGCATTTCCAGATGCATCAATCTTGGTGCAGTATTTGTTATTCGGGTTAGTCCACCCAACGGCATACCATTGGAGCTTCCATAAGGTAGACGAACGCCGGAGCCCTCTAGCAGATATCAGGCACACTTCAACCCAGAGTTTCCCCATACCAAGCTAATTGAAGAAAGAGAGAAATTGAGAGAACTTTCTTGTGCAAGGTTGTCTTAGGATAAAGTAGATATGAAGAACCAGAAGGGAAGCTGTTTTGCATTATCTTGATGGCTACTTTACTTTGGGGGTGAGATAATTTTTATACCCGAGCAACATTATGGGGTAACCCCTTTTGTCAAACTTCTTTTCCTCAGCAATAAGTGCATCACAGATGGGCAGGAATCTGTAATTAGAAAATAGAAAACGTACAGGAGAGTACTGTAGGGAATATGACTAAAATGGTCATGTGTTAACAGTGAAACTACTTCACAATAGTTTACATGATCTTGACTTTTAACCCATGGAAGGGTGGGTAGGGTCTAACAATCAAATACCAGATTACAAGTGAACTAGCCTCCCCCCTCCAGGAAAAAGAAAAAGAGAACCCATTTTGGCTCTTTTGTTATAATTTGATTATGCAACATCTTCAAGCCAAAATAGAGACAACCAACAGAGCACACAAAAATCTTCTCATCTTGGTGCTTCAGCCGAGTTAAAAACTGTGGCTCAACTTCATGATTTCATGGTCTTGGAGTATGGCAAGGTCTTCGAAAGTGGTGGAACTAACAATAGCTTTCGACCGGCAGGTTTAACAATCTGGTTGTCTTGAGGATTAGTTGAAACGCTACTCCTCGTATACATCATTGCAGTGGAGCCTAAAATGTCATCCCCAAAACCGCACACTTCGAAGAACGACCTGAAATTAAGATTTACAGCAGATATTTATCCTCACAATCACAATCACATTGTAGGGGGGAAATTTTGTTCAGCAAAGCATTGAGTCAGATTGGTATAATTAGTTACCTCTCATTCTCTGAGCAAAGGGCTGCTATGTCATAGATGTCTCTACTTGTGAGCATTCTGCACTAAGTATTGAAATACTTTTTAAACACCACAAAAAGGGCATCTTTATTTCAGGATGTTACAACAATCCCTAGAGTTCAAACAAGCTACTAGCTAGTCAATGTTACAAGTCCTATAATTCAGAAAAAGCAACAGTAAAGCAAAAAACTTGAGAGAGAAAAATAAAGAGAATAGTGAACCTTATGATTCTTTTAACTATCATCCTGCCAATTCCCATTCCCCGCAATGAAGGAAGCACCTGGAAGACACTGAAGCATATCTATATCAATACTTCCCAAGTTGAACACTTTCTCTTGGAAATTATACTCAGAAGAAGACTAATCACAAAACCAATTTGATTTGATTGATATATACCATGACATCGTAGATGGAGGCAGTGAGTCCAAGATCAGAAACTGCACGCCCAAAGCCAACCAATTGACTGTTCAATGGGGTAACAGGCATCACCACATTCTGCAACAACTCTCCAAAACCCACTATCTTCTTCTTCTGCTGCTGCTGCTGCTTTTCCTTCAAACATGATGAAGATGATGAACAGCAACCAATCACATCATTTGGCTTGCAGAAGACTGAGACCAAGACTGAACTGTGGGAGAGAGCGACGCGCAGCTTGTGCAAGTCCACAGCTTCAACGACGCAGCGGCCACCGCCGGCGTCCACGTAATTGGGGAAACGGTGGCATGAGAGGTTGCACGCGATGAAGAGGTCACTGAGGTCATCTGGGTTCACGTGGGATGGGTTTGTGGATATGAAAACTGGGACCAGGGCTTGCAGGGTTGCTGGTGCTTTTGGTTTCGATTCTAATGGCGTTTTCATGGTTTTTCCCATTTGGATTTTTCCGCCACTGCTGCTTCTGCTCACCCATTTTAGCTCCATGGTTTTCTTGGTCGTGTGACCCTCTACTACATGCATGGGCATAGCGGCTGCTGCTGCTGTAGCTGCAGCTACACTAATCTCCATTTCTTTGTCTTTCTCTCTCTCTCTCTGCAATTTTTTGTGAATCGTTCGTCCTCTGGAATGGAAGATAATGTTGTTGAGTGTTCCTGAACTCATGAACTTGCAAGATGGCTTGCAAAATCCAAATGAAATCCGAAAAGTCAAAAATGCCCTTACTGTTTTCATAACATAGTAGGGTGAAAACGCCACTATCTATTTTACCTATTCACGAATTCACCCCAAGGTCTGTCCGTTGTCTTTTTCGAAACTATTAGCAAATTGCCAATTGGTCCTTTTGCGCTAGACGACAGTAGTTTAGCTAAACCTTTAGATTGCTGCCACTTGTACGGTTCGATCTTCGTTCATCCTATTCTTAGATCTTTCCCGCGGCCCAGCGCGCTCCGTAAAGAAATTTTTTTACAGAAAAAACCTGAAAGAGATTTGATGCTTCGGTCTAAACCCGTACCCGACTAAACCGACCCGGATTCTGCTACTCTGCCATACAACTAAAAGGTCCAACTTTTTGAAAAGACTTGAACAAGAAGACATGGAAAACCCCAATCTCCATACAAATTTTTATAGTGAGATTGTGAACCAACGTGTATGGTTATGAATATGAATCAAAGCTACTCTCCTCAGTCAAGACAATATTATCAATCAAAAGTTCACAATTGGAAGCAGCAGGACATGGATTTTATAGGAAAAACCAAAAACAAAGGCAACTTCATCACACCATTAGTTCATAAAAGCAAAGGATAGCAATAAGGTCTCATGTTCTGAGGAAAGAAACATACGATACTACGGAAAACATGTTTATTCATGTAAAGTACTCATAAAGCCTGCCTCAGAGGCGAAGAGTCCATGGGAAGTCGTCGGTTCCCGCGGTGGCAGCTTGCTCCTGAGAGCTTGCTGGAGGAGCTCGGGTGTTTGATGATCCGTCTCGATGAGGACCAACACTTAACCATTCATCTATGTCTGATAACTCTATAGCACTTCTGCTGGTTCCAGAGGTTGACGTATTCTGACTCTGCTGTTCAAATAGCTTGTTGAAGAAAGGTTGCTGTGGCCCTAACTCTGTTGGCCTAAACAAATTCAAACCTTGGCTTGCCTGCTCGACATTGCTTCCATAGTGTGTGCTTCCTCTACCAGCCACTGGTTGAAACTGATGTGCTCCACCTCCAAGATAACTTGGGCCCAGGGCTGGACTCTGACTTGGTCCAGAAACAAACTGGGGAAATGGCCATGGACCATGAATGTTCTCAATTTCCCTCCGTAGATCGGAGGCATGCACATCAGCCATCAACACATTCTTGCCTTTACCATCTCCAAATAAGGAGTTCATAGAGGAGGAACTCCCAGATAAGGGATTGGTGTTGTAAGAATTAATTGATGCCACATTATGAATTTGGCCTAAAGCTCGACACTGGAAGTTTGAAGTTGCATTATCAGGATTAAGATCTTCAGTTTGAAGATCGGTAATGTTTTTGAACTGCTGCCAAATCAAGTCTGAATTCTTCTCAGCAACCATTTGAGCTGTTGGCCCAACCATTTGAGGTGATGCCATGTTAAGCATTTGACCTAGAGCTCGATGCTGAAAGTTTGAAGTCACATTATGAGGATTAAGATCTTCAGCACCTTTTCCCGAATTGTGCTTGGCAACCATTTGAGCTGTTGGCCCAACCATTTGAGATGATGCCACATTAAGAATTTGACATGGAGCTCGGCACTGAAAGTTGGAAGTTGCATTGTGAGGATTAAGATCTTCAGCACCTTTTGTGGAATTGTGCTCCGCAACCATTTGAGCTGTTGGCCCAACAAACTGCATCAAGCTTTCTTGGTATCCAATACTATTCTGCTTAGTCTACAAAGCCAGGACAAGTAATCAATATGCAAGTACATACAACTCGGACTACACAAATAAATAAGACCTTAAAGCTCAGTCCTCTTTTCTATTACAGGCCTTTGGATTGGTTGCTGTTGAATAAAGGTTCAGCTTACATGAATGTATACATGTATTTTTCTTTGAGACAATTTTTCTTTTTTATATCAGTTTGGGAAAACTACTTAAGATACACCCATGAGCAGATGCTCCACTGCACTGCACACAGACATTACTCACCTGCACAAGTTGTTTTGAGCTGCAATAGACTGTAGACTCGATTGACTCATTCATAGTGGGGAGTCTATTCAGAGGCCTGTAGGTTTCATGTTGATCTACTTCAGAATGCTCAGAACTTCTTTCACCTCTACAGCCTGTTTATGGGAGAAATGAAAAGAGAATGAGTTCAACTATATTGAATGCTAAAAGGCACTGTAAGTGATCTGGTAAGGAGGTTATTAGCCTACAATAACCAAAACTGTAAAACTCATACAGGCACTTGACTCACGTGCATTAATGTGTTCAATTACAAGATCATGCAGAATACTGGATAAGTCAATATCTCGAGCGAGTTAAGAGTTCTCTATTACTTTGTAATCACTTTGGCAAAATGTAAGTTCTGAAGTACAGGGCATGCTTATGTATCTTGTTTGGACGTAGACCTACCCTTTGAAGCCATCCCATTCGTTGACCTGTGAGAACTATTCTGAATGTTCACTTCAGTCTTAGCCCTCTTACTGGCTCGCAGTCTTGTCATGGAATGGCTACTTTCAAAGTTCTCAGGGTCATTTTTCAAAGCATCAAACAACCGCTCTGCTAGGTCTCTTATAGCACAAGCCTGAAAAACCATAAATCTCAGTATAATAAGGAGAAAATGTAGATTTCAAGAGCATAAACAGTTGGCCAACCTTGATGATAACAACAGTGCTTAATGGACTTGCCTGTCTATAATAGGTGGTTGTTGACAAGTTGAAATGCATTGCGTTGTTCCATACCAAAAACACATCATGCTGTATGTTAACCAAATAATCATCAGAACTAAAGGGATAGCTTTATATATAACTATCAACATTAATCTACCAAATATTAAAATCACAAATGTGATGGAAAGCAGTTTGTTTCATACTCCTACAACTATAAAACTAGCATGCCTCACTAAAAAAAAATAGCATGCCAAAAACTAAGTTTGGTGAGGAAACCAATGAACCAACCCAGCCGCTTAAAGTCAAAACAAACGTGCATATACACTCAAATTTTCACCAAACATAAAAAGGGAGATGATTATTAGATACAGAACTCTCAAAAACAAGTTCTCTTCCCAGCTCTACTGAAAGGAAAAACAAGAAGAGAACCATGGAGTCTAGGAGCAAACCTCGAATTCTTCAAGTGTTCTGTAGCTTTGTCCATTGAGTTTTGCTGAAATCGTGCCGAAATCCATTGGCTCTTTAATGATATCATAGTAGTCTTTAACCTTTTACATGAAGAACTATAAATAAGCAACTATGACGGTATACATATTTGGATAGACCATAAATACAGTAGACAAACCTCTTCTGGATTTACTGCCTCTGCAAATAGATTGTGTAAGTCTCTCCTACAATTAAAGTTAAAAACAATAAGGCATTAACTTCCTTGATGAGAAATTCAATAAAGAAGAGCACAATCGCTTCTAGGAGGAAAACAAAAATACTTCACTTCAATCAATTATAGCGTGGCTAACAACAAAAACGAAATTAGAAAAATGTCTAACCAAGTGTTTACCTTTTCAATATACCAAGCAGCAGTTCCAGCTTCCTTCTTTCTGGTAACACAGTACCAGATGACAAGGAAACTGTTTGATTTAAGACAGGACATAATGAATTAATGAGTCCTTGCCATCCTAACATAGATATAGTAAATTTCAATTCAAAATTTAAAGGAAAAAAAAATGAAACACCCTCACCGTCATTTGTACAATGGTCTTCGTTGCTCGAATTACCAGCCTGCATTTATGCCAAAAAGGAGAAGAAAAAAGAAAAAAATTGTAACACCAGTGCAAAATTATAATGAATATACCTGTCCTTTCATTCAAATAAAATAGCTCAAATATATATGAAGTATGTAGAAAAAGAATGTGGAGTGCCTACCAAAGTTTACCACTAAGAATTTATGCTTGATATAAAAAATAAAAAACTCAAAATATTCAATTAATTGTCATGACAAAGCAACAGTTCAACATTTCCACTTCCTGTTCAATTACTGTTCCAGTTTTCGCAGCCTTGTTTAGTACACACCTCTTTTTTCAGTTGACACTCAACTGTATTTGCAACCAGATCCTGGACGGGTGTACTCTTAACCTTTTTTCTTCTCTGCGTCAGGTCGGAATCTTCAGTAACAACATCCCTGGCTGCATCACATGTTGCCTTGCCCTTATTCTGAGTCTTTTTTGCTTCCAGTTCAAGTATTCGTGCACTCCTTCTACGTTCACCACTCCACATAATTGCTATTGTTATTTGTTATTTTCCACAATCACCTCTATGAGATACAAACTTCTACAATACAATGTAACTCAATTGAATGTCCCCTACTGTTCCACAAATCAAGTGATAAATATTAGCGATGAAACATGGAAAGTTCAGGAAAGCTATTAGATATTCATGTCCAATATATGTAATCTTGGAAAATAAAAGTGACAGAAAAAAAAAAAGAAACCGAAATGCCATGAGACGCCACAAATAGAATTAGTTTCAGTAAAAGGGTAAAGGGTTACTGGTACATACGCAAAACTCAAGCGACAAACAATACAGAAATGTAAAGAGAAATAGAAATTGGGTGAAATCTCACATAACCATTTCTCAGCAATACTCTTTGTTTCTGAAATGGAAAATATTTTCATATTTCAGTTAAATTCTTTGAAAACCTGTTTTCATTTCATGCTAAAATGTTTTAAACGACACTTTTGTTTAGCCAAATTGAAAACAATTTTCATAGAACTAAAGTATGTCCCTGGACCTTTTAATAAGTGGGCCACATGACCACTTAAGTGCATTGTTCATCCACTGCAAAATCATATTCTCTTACATACTCTCTATCTTTGCCTTCTCTTAGATAGGAAACTATCACGTCTTTCAAGAACTGATTTTCATCATAATCACCAAGCAAAAATCTGAAAATTTTCTTTAAACTGATGCCACCTGATCTTAGATTTTAAAATGCGATAGAAAAACAAATTCAAGCATAACTCAACTGAGACATGTGAGTTCCACAATAAATACGAACCAAAAAAGTAAACCCTATCATCTTACTCTGCCAAATAATTTATTAGTAATTATGTGAACTTTCATCAGCTAAATTTCTTATTAGTAATTCAATCTCCTAAAAGAAAGAATATTAGGCCACTTTCTATTCCAATTCTAGTAAAATACATATACTAAAAGAACAATATGCAACCTATTTATGCATTTATTAGTGCACATCATTGCAAAGCAACCACTACCACCACCATATATTTCAAATTTTCCAAAAAAAGGACAGATGAAGAAAAATATATACAGAATGATGGGCTACATATTTATACAAAGCACATGTTCTTGTTCCTATTTTGTATATTTCTCCATAATATTGCTAAATCAATGGAACTATTTTTTCTACAAGAAAAATTTCTAACCAATTCTTATTTTGATACCCAGAAATCCTCCAATCCCGCTTCATGGACTTGGATTTGAAACAGGGGGGGCCCCGCCGAACCCTACAATCTTTGGATATTCTAATTTCTAACCAAATTAGAGTATCCAATTTCTCCCTTCTTCTGTAATTCGACTTCTCCCCTTGGGTACCAACTGTTTTACAATCTAGTAAGCAGTTAGGTGTTGGGACTTGTATGACTCCAAATGTATTATGACTCTGGGTTTAGCTATAATATCAAGCCAGTGTGCTTGAAGATCTGATACCAACACAATTCCTCACTTTTTTTATCACTCACAACATAGTTGGATCAGACGCCAATGTATTATTACTCTGGGTTTAGCTATAATATCAAGCCAGTGTGCTTGAGGATCTGATACCAACACAATTCCTCTTTTTGTATCACTCATAACATTATTGATATCAATGAACTAGTTCCAAGTCTAGTACAAATCCATCAATTCTGTACCAACCACAACAAGCTTCTCAAAGTGACCAAATCTTAACACATCAATATCACAAATGGATGACAACCACAACTAAATGATAGGAGAAAATCAAATAAAGAGAAAAAGCACCATTTGATATAAAAAAGAATAAAAAATCAATGAAGTTGATATTCCTTCGAAAAGGGCTAAAAATATTTTCTTAGTCTTATATTTTTTATTATTATTAGCAATTCTTTTCCTTTTTAGTTGGACTTGCCTACCACCAACCTACCTCGATTGAAAGCTGATATCCGTGCAACTGATCTACTAAAAATGATTAATCAGGGGTAAACCTTCAATCCCTTTCTATCCTGGTGATGGCAGCAAGAAATGGTTTTTCAATATACAAAATCATAAAAAGGCTATCTAAGAGCAATCAAAATTTGCAATTTCTCTTCTTGGATTTCTCCCATGGCCATCAAAAAAAGCCAAACTGTAAAGATCGGTGCAAGTAGTGACAGAAGGCAGAATGCAAGACTCACATTCAAAAAAGAAAAGCAATAGAACATTACCAATTGCATCTCCTTCAAGCAACCGAGCAGTGAAAACATTTACAGGACCTCCGCCTCGATAATGTAAATCCCGACTGATGCTCCAATAGAGCACTATTAACCCTAAGAAAGCCATTTATAAAGTAACTTAATAAATTTCACCCATTTAAGGTAATCTTGGTGGATTTACTTAGACATGAGCACATAATGACTAGGACAGGCCTCCCAGTGCATGAAGAGATTAGCCTGAAAATTCTGTTCTGGAGAACAAATGGAGCGGCGTTGGCCCCATCTGGCAAAACAGTAATGGTTAAGTAAAAATGCATGGTTAAAACCAAAATTTAATACATAGACTCAAATTTACTTTTGTGAACTGTGGTAACCAAAGTGATTGAAATAAACAAGAGCTTTATTTTTCTGATAAAAATGTAAAAATAAAAATAAAACAAGGAGTTATAAATTATAACTTCGTCTCATTTCCATATGTTTCTGACTTCATTTTGCCGAAGCCTTTATAAAGCAAATTTTCACTATTATGGCAACTAGTATGTAAGTCTCTTGATGAAAGAATTCAAAGAAAAACACATTTCTAGCTTAGATATGATGTATGAATAATGTGGCATCCTCTATAACATTGTTGGAGTAAATTAGTAAATGAAACACTTGATGACCGCCAACCAACTCCTGTGTATTTCCCAAAATATTTCAATCTTAAGAGTTTAGAACTAATAGACTATCAGTTTTTAAGAAGCTCTTGATTATACCACAGCACTTTCTCCATATATGCAGGTATACCACCACCTGGCTCATGACATATCTATTTTTTGTGATCTTGTCTTGGCCTCAATTCTTTGAACTAGCAATTCATTTTTAACAAGGCTTGTCCATTTGGTATATACTATAATCAAACAATAAGAAACAATTCATGAAGCTCAAGATTAAGTACATTAGTTTTTTATTTTTTTTAAGAACAACACTTCAATAATGACCCTTCTAATGAAAAAGCAGTGACAGAGGCAGAGCTATGTCCAAAAACAATAAAATGCAGAAGCAGACATACCAGTATCCGCTTCTTCAACCATTGGACATATATTTATAGTAGGCCGAAACAATGCCAATAGCCTTCGACCCTGGATTATTGGAACCCATTTGTTCAAGAAGATTTCTGGCATCATCATCAACTTTCACTGCAACAATAGAAAGTCGAGCACTTACAGAAACTTATTTATGGTAAAAGTGAATATAAACCCATGAGAGATAGAGGGACCAAAAAAGGAATTCGGGGGTTGTCTTACAAAGATTCACTGACGACGAGCCCAGAATTCTTGGACCCATATAACTAACTGATAAAAAGCTTTTGCAGTTTCTCCCAAGTAGTGATTTTTTGGGAAAATTACTGTGTTTCTTTGTTTGGAGGGAGGCTTGAGGACCCCAAAAGTCCATAAATTTGATGGGTCACTGTGACCTCCTCCTTCTGCGTCTGACTCTGAAGCCATTTTCATCTGCGAAGTAAAAGAGGACGGTGCTACACCTTTCATCTCTGTAGATTTCAGGAAACATACTGAATGAGGAAGATGGAGAGAAGCTTACGTAGAATCGCGGTTTGCAAATGGTGTCTTCTCAACAGTCTAATGTGATGTTTCTCATAAATTTGGTACGAGTTCTTCAAGTTTTCCTCTTTTTTTATTTACACTTTTTTTTCTTTTTCGGTGTAGATTATCCTATTTTGATATGAATCTTTCAATTTCTGAATTGTTTATTTGGTTAAAACATGATTATTGATTTTAAAAATTCATTTATTTTCTATGTATGCATCAAATAACAAAGATAACATCAAATAATATTAAAACAAATAATTTTTGAAAAAGCTTTGTTTACATTCCAATATCCCAAATTTGGCAAACATGACACACATATAACTCGAACAATAATAGACACCTAGCTAGCTACTTCAATGATTTTGGACTTGTTTCTATCTGTCAAGAACAGATTTTTGAATGAGGATATGTACACCATTTCCAGGCCCTACAATCATTTTATAAGCAGGAGAATGCTTATATTTGGGAGACAGAGAGAAAGAGAACTTGGAGATAACAAGGGAGAGGACAACTTTCAATTCAACCATGGCTAAGTTTTTCCCCAAACATATTCGAGGTCCCAACCCAAATGGGATGTAGGCTTGGGGAGACTTGCAAGCTTTAGACACACCATCTATGAACCTCTCAGGCTTGAATTCATTTGCATCAGGTCCCCAAATTTCTGTATCTCTGTGCAATGTTGGGATCAAAGTCCATAAGCATACCCCTTTAGGAACACTGATGTTTCCCACTTGGGTATCTTCAAGTGCCTCCCTTGACACAAAGGCAGCCGGTGGGTACAAACGCAAGACTTCTTGAATTACCATAGCCATCTGCAACGGTGTATGCATAAACGGGAAATGTTATGTTGCTAGACAAGGCAATATGACATGTTATGTTGTTAGACAAGACAGTCTAGCATGTTACGTTTTCAGATATTGTTGGTTTTAATAAAGTAGTTTTGTTCGAATGTGTAGTGACAACACAATTTGGCATCAGGAAAGTACCCTACATCCAACAAAATTATAATGAGCATACAGATTGATGCAAGAACTTGTACCATTTTCAACTGAGGGAGTGAGTTTGCATCTGGGAGGCCATCTGGGCAAACTTGAGCCAACTCTGTCCTAATTCGAGCTTGCCACTCGGGATGTAGAGCAAGCAGCATCATACACCAAGAGGCAGCAACAGCTGTGGATTCATGGCCTGCAAAGTATATGCTCTTGCAGTTGTCAACTATGAAGCGCTTGGATGAACCTTTGCCCAGGCTTTGGTCATTGATGGCTCCCTCTAGTATTGTCTGCAACAGATCCTTTTCGGCTGAAGATGTCTCTGAGCCTTGTCTTTCTCTCACTGCCTCCCAGATCAATGACTCTATCTCTCTCTCTAAGCACCCTATCTCATTTTGCTTCTTCAAGCCACTGCATTATAATTAGCCATTAATAAAAAAATATTTAACACAGCCAAAGTACATTGTTAACTAGTGTTAAACTTGCATACCCCAAATTAGAAAACAGGAAATTTTGCTGGGAAATGACTTCTTGAAGGGCTCTAAGCTTTGAGAAAATCTGTTTGCCCTTTATATAAGAGCTTCCAAAACAAGCTCTTGATATAACATCTGCAGAAAAATCCCTGAAATCCTCATCCACTTGAATCTCTGCTGTCATGCCACCTTGAGCTTCAATGCAATCCTCCCATTTTTGAAGCAATGTCTGTCCTGACTCTAACATCAGCCACACCATGCCCTGCCACAAAATTATCAATTAATTTCTCTCAATTAGCGATGTTTCACAAATTTTTGGACCAATTTTAATTTTTAATTAATTAATTACCTTGACTTTGTCTGTGAAGAACTCAGGGGCAATGATTTTTCTCTGTTGTGACCAGACAATGCCATTGGACCTCAAAACGCCATTGCCAAGCATGGGTGCAAGCCTCTTGCTTACATAAGAAGGCTTGCCTAAATCCAAACTCATGCACTGGTTCATTTCCCTTACAAGCTCTGGCTGGTTCACGTACAAATGTTGTCTCATTCCTGTTGAGTAAGTGTATATTTGACCTGCAACACATTCATATAAAATAAAATTTTATGACTGCAAGCGATAGTCTAAATTACAAGGTGAAGGGACCTAGACACATTACGGGTGCTATATGGATTCGAACATGAAACCACTGGCCTACAAATCAAGACTCTTTTTTATTGGGCTAGATCCCACGGTAAAATTAAAAAACACACACACACACACAAATGAAGCCCATTCTACTGTTTTGATTATATGATGGGCCAGACTGGGTCAGCTATAGTTTTGGACTTTTGAGTCTAATCTGCCCAAACCCGGCAGCTGCTAGCTTTTTAAAACTCGAGTCTATCAATCAAATTTTTTAAATAAAAAAAAAACATGGGATGGGTCACCATTATAATAATTAATTAATCTTCATCCAAAAATTGAAAATATAATGCGTGTTTCATTAAAATATTGTGTATATCTTCACACTTGTAAAGAATAATATTTATTTTTTGTGTTAGATTATCAATCATCAATTCTATATTATATGCGGCCCTCCCATGTTCCAATCATCATATGGTCTTATAAAAATATATTTATTTATTTTTGTTAGTTTGAAATATCATTAAAAGTAGTCATTGTCTTGCCTCCCCTCATATATTAAATTGTGCTACTTAATTATATTAACATAATATGATTAGACAAGTAATCAATTGCAAATTGGCCCGAGACTTTGACATGGCTTTCCTTAAGTACATATTTAACTAGTTAAACTCGAGAATCCAAGCATCTGAACACATTTCTATTAGCCAAGATTCTGCTAAATCCCATTGACTGAGCTGGAAAAACTTGACCACACACAACCCCCCACCACCGCCAAAACCCCTTCTCTCCCAAGACAGACAACTCTTTTTCCCTTCGTTTCTGTTTCAGATTTCTATCCATTTTCGCTGGCCAAAAACCTTTTGCCAACTTTCCAAATCACACTGTTTATGTGCAATATATGTACATGTGTGTGTGAATAAATATATATAACATGCCATGAGAAATGTTAAAAAGAAGTAAAAAAAGAGGGAGAAAAACAACAAACTCAGAGTGGTTTGGAGTGTTGGGGAGTTGGTGTTGGATTTTCTGCATCTCAGACAGATTTCCATATAGAAAAGAAGGCGCAGGGCCTTTGATGCCTTGCACTCGGAGCTTTCTTCTGAGCCTCTCGGACTTTAGCCACACTCTGTTGTAGAGGTGAAGTAAGAAGCCAACCAGTCCCGCGGCAGCCAGGGAAGAAAGGAGTTTCAACACAAAAGAGACCATCTCTCTCTCTCTCTCTCTCTCTCTCTCTCTCTCTCTCTCTCTTTTAGTCTTCACTGGTTTTTCCTGTAACTACCTGTTAGTCATATGACATATATAGACTACATTGAGTAGCCCGTGCCTTTACATGAACCTGTACAAAATAGAATAGGTTTGCAGCATAATATGCTAGACTGTGTGACACGATAACATTATCAAAGTTACTTTCGGACAAATCAATTAAATGTAGGTAGAAATAATGTTACATTTACCAATTTTGTTCTCTAGACGATTGTCATTCTATCGTTGATTCAAAATATGGACCCATTTTGAACCTCCTCGTTCTTATTTTTGATAAGTTAGATATTGACATATATTGTTGATTCAAATATAGGCCCATTCTGAACCTTCTCGTTCTTATTTTTGACAAATTAGATATTGACATGTATACTAAACTAGCACATAATTGAATGATATTTGGCATATACAAATTGATATGTCTAGCATTATTGATAAAATATACTGTACACAAATATATATATATATATATATATGCGTCTAGCTTGCGTGTATAAAGGCTGAAAGATTTACTATATTTAGGGGAGGTGAAGAGAGAGGAGGGAGGAGGACCCATTTCGGCTAAAAGTTCTATAATATTAGTGTGAATGGTTCAACATTACTGCAACAACCCCACGTTTAACACCTGTTATATATAAATATGAGATGATTTTGACACGCCAAATTTTCATCTTACCAACTTCTTCATAATATAATTTAGATGTGACTTTGAAATGCTAAAATTATCACCTTTCAAATATTATGTGACGGTGAAATTGGATGAAATACATCCATCTAAGACAATGACATTGTTAATTAATCATAATTGAATATATAAATTGGCAAGTCGGGGATCAAGAGAGTGATGTGTGCAATTTAAATTGGGTGTCGACGATCATTTCCCTTATATTTCTATACATATATAATGCAATATGTACAAGTTTTCTACTAAAAAAGAGAAAGATAGAAGAAGGCGGCCAAGAAAGGCAAGCATATATATATGCTTTAAGCTTATGCTTTGCTATATATGAAGAGTTCTTATCTCAAAAACTAATCCATCTACAAGCACTATATATAGCACGCACATGCATGTGGGTTCTATATAATACAATATCTTTCAGTTCATCAGAAGTGCATGAACCATATATTTGCATGAATTAATGGATCAAATTGGGTGGCCAATGTGAAATGTTGACTTTGTGACAAATTGATCAAAAGTAAATTCTCTCTAACTATGTATTTGGACTAAATCTGTTGAGGGTAAAAGAACAAGCGCATGAACATGAGCAGGGGGTTCAAGTAACATTAAGAAATACAAATGGACAAAATTATGAACAGTAACCTCGTAAAAGAAATTGTATTTTAATACAAAGTGATGGTTTAAAACTACTCGAATCTACAATAAGGAGATCTGAACTTGGGTGTAAAGGGACGGACTCATTGTTGTGGCTAACTGACCTAAAGTAGAATGCAACAGTAACTTAATTTTGAGTTTCAATATATAGGAGTGTCTCAATCTGCAGAAACTCATAATTCAATATATATTGCAGGGAATATGAAGGAAAAGATGAGATGGTGATTGGAGAAGGTGGCGTTTTATGGTATAATTCAATATGCCCACAATCTGGGTCAAACTAGGGTTTGATGCTGTCAGTGGCACAAGACGATGAGCCAGTAATCTAGTGGGCTAATAGAGTTAGAGAGACGGTCCCTCTCTCTCTCTCTCTCTTTCTCTCTGAGAACGATGAATTGAATTTTGGGGTCCCAAAATTCACAAAAAGAAAAAGATCCTCAATCTTCCTTCTTAAATATACTCAGGACCACTTCAGTTTCTCTCGATAATCTGCTGGACCACCGATGTGACTAAACTTCCATTATTTATTTTATTTACAACTAATCTGTGTTCGAAAGGCTTTGAAACTATCTTCTTCTCATTGAAATTGAACTGTCAGGACGTCACAAGATGGCGAGGCTTATATACTTATTATGCCCCAATTGCACTTGCTGCCTCGGCTTTGCATAATCGTGTGGTGCGCATAAACAAGACTTGAACAAAGCCAAGATTTAAAAAAGAAAAATAAAACACTAGCTAACTCTTCTTTTCTGTTAAGCTAAAGTCAGTCGCGCATGCGCTTGAGGTGATTTTGGCCGTTGATGCATGTGGGGTTAATGAAGCATCAACAGTCAAATCAACCATGCGCGCGGAGACTGTTAGCCAATGACTATTGGCTCTATGACAATTATAGGATGCTTCAATCTTTATGCATTATTGAGTGCATGTAGAAAGTGAGAATAGGGACCGCGCCGTGCCGTCCTTGAAACATAGGATTGTGGGGAAGAAAAAAATCTGAAAATGCCCCATAAGGGTACCCATAGTTGTCCAGCAGACAGATTGGGGTTCTTGGTGAATTAGGTAGTCATCCACTTTCAAGACAAGAGGTCCAGACTCCAGCTAGCTAGCCTTCCACTTCTTGTGAACAATTGAGAGCCATACAACCTTCAAAGAGAGAGAATGGTGAGGGATCCACCACCATCTTCCGAAATACACAGAACTTAGCTTAGTGAACTGAATGGTCAGTTCGTCAGGTTAAACTTATGTGAGCTAAGGCCACTGGAAATTTGGAATCTGGCTATGTCCACTGGATAAAGTGGAGTACTTGTTGTGATTATATTTCACATCGAGAATGAAAAAGAATGTGTCGCATCAATAATGTTGTATGCATTTCATTTCATTACTAATAAGTTTTGAGTTTGAATCTCTAACTTTTACACTACACATACATTATACGTATTCTTATATCACCAAATATATGGAGAATGTAAGGTATTTGTAGGTTTTGATAAAGTCCCACCGATAAAAGTCTTAAAGAGACGCCAATGGGTTCCCACTACAGTGAACCAGTACTGGTGGATTCTCCTTTTCCGCATCCAGAATCAAATCCCAGTGGAGTTTCTTTCCTCCAATGTAACATAAAAAGAAGAGACTATATGAACATTTCTCGTGGAGGATCTAGCAATTTTTCTTCTTAATGCCCGCACATCATGTTACCTAGTTCAGCTTCGTACCATGCCATGTCTTAACCTATTTTAAGAATTTTATCGAACATCTTGCCCCATTCTCAAGCAGCACATCAAAGGAACATTGCCCAATTCCACCTGTAGTAATATTGAAAAGTGAGGGCAGTTGCATACACTGGCCCTGTTGCGAACAATCAGTTTTCCAACAAAAGAAAAGAGCAAAAATAAAAAGAATGGTGGTCCACTGGTCCAGCCAGGCAGTGGACGGTCTTTATTAAATTGTAGAATATAATACTTTTTGTTTACCAAAAGAAAAACCAATTTCTAGTTGGGCTATAAGTGATTTATTTGGTAGCCTTGTCTAGGCCCAAAATTTCTGTCTAGCTCCCGAGCCTAATTTCATTTGAAAGCCCAATAAACCACCGTCGAGACTTGCCGTCAATTTTCCAAAGAGATTTTTGAAAATGGATCAGAGCTAGACAGAAGAGACACTTATCATCCCAATCCGACAACAAATCTCCCTCTCCGTCACAAAGCTTGAGCTTTGAGTGCTCCATATACAGAGGAAGAGGGAGAGACGCTGTGTTTTCTCTGAAATTAGAGGTGTGTAGGTATCTCTGCAGCTAAAGCCTTAGGCTTTTCGTCCCCAATTCGCTTTCTCAGAGTTTAGGGTTTATGCGATGCGATGCGATGCTACAGAAGATCACAAATTGTGTAATTGAAAAGGAAGACGAGTAGTAAAATATGTGTTACAGTCTGGTTCTAAGTCTGAAGTGAGTGTATTGGGTTTTTCTGAGAGGAATTGATGGAAGGGGGAAGGAGAATATCGGCAAGTCCTCGGCCTTGCAATGGTAGGAGGGTGGTAGCGAAGAAACGACCTCGTGTTGGTGGCGTGGATGGGTTCGTCAACAGCGTTAAGAAGCTTCAGAGGCGCGAAATCAGCTCCAAGCGTGACCGTGCTTTCACTATGAGCGATGCCCAAGAGAGGTTTCGCAATATTCGCCTCCAGGTACTGCTCTTTCTTTTGATTTTTTTTATTGAAGGAAATTTTGGGGCTTTGATGCTTGTTTACCTCTTCTGCGTACTTAGGTGGTTGTGGTTAGCTCTAGCACTTGTGCTGATTTTCATTAAGTTCAAAAACCAAAGATAAATAATGGGTTTTGTTGTTAAATTTTTAGGATGATAGATCCTCTCACAGAAAATTGAAAAAGATGGGACTCTGTTGTCAATTATTGTCATGCATTCCTTAATTTTGTTCAGTCCTTCTATTCACTGTTAAGAAATGTGAGCTCAATAGCTCGATTGTTATTTTTTCAAGCTCCCTAGAGACAAAAAATAGAATATTTCTTGCCCCAAAAACTATGGTAAGCTGAAATCCCCTCCTATTGTTAATTTGTGGGTGTTAGGAGCACTCAGTGGCGTTCAGTTAACAATATGCTTCGGTCTTCAGTTAGTTGTTCCTGTTTAATTTGAACATGGGGCCTTTATACTTGTGATGCCGCTACTTTCAAATTCTTAGTGCTACGAACCTGTCATAGGCTCTACTTATATGACATGCATTTGGATCCCACTTCATATTACTAATGGAAACACTTGAAAGCATGTTGTGTAATAAAGCTCATATGCAACAATACTGTAAGAAAGTTGTAAGTTTCAAGATTGGAGATTCAATTTGTGCAGTCACGTTGTCTCATGTTCCTGAGTAAAAACTGTATTTGTTTCTGCTAACAATCAATACTGAAAATCTTAATGGATTTAATATTGCGATGAATATGGAGTTATGCACTACACATGCTTTTGAAATATGAGTGAAAAGATTCCTCACTGACGATGTCAGTGCGCCTGCAATACCTAATTTCTGATTCTGGTGATATTTAAATGCATAGGAGGAATATGATACGCATGATCCAAAAGGTCACTGTGCCATGGTTCTGCCTTTCTTGCGAAAGAGGTCAAAAATTATTGAGATTGTAGCAGCGCGTGACATTGTGTTTGCTCTTGCGCAATCTGGTGTTTGTGCAGCATTTAGCCGAGGTAGTAGCTGTAATATTTTTATTTCTAATCTTATCTTGCATGCACCAGTCTTATTACTTATAAAAGTTGAATGAGTGGAATATGTAATGTTTTTATTTTGTTGGATGCAGAAACCAACCAGAGAATATGCTTTCTGAATGTCAGTCCCGATGAAGTGATAAGAAGCTTGTTTTATAACAAAAACAATGACTCACTTATCACTGTTTCAGTTTATGCTTCAGACAATTTCAGTTCCTTGAAATGCAGAAGCACTAGGATTGAGTACGTAAATTCCTCCACCCTCCCTCCTCTTCTCCTCCCATACACACACATATACACGCGACATACAAACCACACCCCCCCCCAAAAAAAACAACAAAAAAAGGCCCAAAAGAAACAACAGTATATATATATATTTCTGAAACTGTCAAATTTTGTTGTCCAGATACATACGAAGAGGTAAACCAGATGCTGGCTTTGCTCTTTTTGAATCAGAGTCACTGAAATGGCCTGGTTTTGTAGAGTTCGATGATGTAAATGGGAAGGTTCTCACTTATTCTGCACAGGATAAGTAAATATTCTGTCTTTTTGGTCTTCATTACAAATACACAATTATATTCTAGATCTTGATTTACTTTCTTTTTGGTTCTTTTTTATTATCAGCATATACAAGGTGTTTGATCTGAAAAACTACACAATGTTGTACTCGATATCAGATAAGCATGTCCAAGAGATTAAGATTAGGTAAGCTTTCTTCACATGCCTCCTTTTCTTAAATAGTGTGTCCGCAGACACACACACACACACACATTGTCCGCAGACACACACACACACACTGGTGTTGGCATTTACATTTGGTATTTTCTTTTGCTATTGTTTAGTGGACATTTATTTTGCTTCTGTTTTCCAACTTTCTTTTTCAGTCCTGGAATCATGCTGTTAATTTTTACTAAAGCTAGTAGCCACGTTCCTCTTAAGATCCTGTCCATAGAGGATGGTACTGTTCTCAAATCCTTCAACCATCTCCTTCATCGGAATAAGAAGGTGGATTTCATCGAACAGTTCAATGAAAAGCTTCTTGTAAAGCAAGAAAATGAGAACCTTCAAATTCTTGATGTGAGGATCTTTCTGTATATCTTGCTGATGTATTATTATTAAATCATTTGGATTTGTATGTCTGACTGCTACATCTGTAGGTTCGTAATTTTGAGCTGACAGAAGTTAACAGAACTGAGTTCATGACACCATCAGCCTTTATATTTCTGTATGAGAATCAGCTATTCCTGACGTTTCGAAATCGAACTGTGGCTGTTTGGAATTTTCGGGGAGAACTTGTAACTTCTTTTGAGGATCATCTTTTGTGGCATCCCGACTGCAATACCAATAACATATACATTACTAGTGACCAGGATCTTATTATTTCTTACTGCAAGGCTGATTCTGATGATCCATTGTCTGAAGGAAATGGTAAATATTGTTTCCTTATATATATGATGGAATATACTTGCTTTTTTGAATGTTTATCTCTTACAATATTATAAGTTGGAGAATCATTTCTGTGAGAAGGCTTTGGTTTTCTGACAGTGTCTGCATCTCTATTGCAGCAGGTTCCATCAATATCAGCAATATTTTAACTGGGAAATGCCTTGCTAAAATAAGAACAAGCAACAACAAGGAAATTGAGTGCAGCTGTAGTGGTGAGTGTTGTGGCAGCAGCTGCAATTCGAAGAAGCGGGCCCTTTCATCCAGAATTAGGAGTACAGTTGCAGAAGCCTTGGAAGATATTACTGCTCTCTTCTACGACGAAGAGCGGAACGAGATCTACACGGGCAATAGGCTTGGTCTAGTTCATGTATGGTCTAACTAATGGTTTAATCAGTCAGTTTGTTCACCATGTATGGCGCCCGCCGCCGCCACAACCCACACCCCCCACCCCCCCCACAAAAAAAAAAAAATTCTTTCTCC